TTCCAATCGAAATGCTTCCACATGGTCATGTAAATCCAACCACTGTCAGGGAAGACCTACTCACTGCCTTCTTGCAACACCGGTGTTGTTTACAAAATTGGATATGGAGGATCCATCTAGGGGAGTTGGAAATCCCTGATTCCCAACCAATGGTGCACATGGGCTCTAGGATCCGGAGGGAATAAATGGTGTATGAACCAATTATTAGTCACCGACTAACATGGTGCTGCATCTCTTTACGTTATTTCACTGCCTTGTTGATCATACCTTTACGTCGAAGTCTCCAGGTGTGGTCCCCTAAGAAAACCACCTGCTTTGGCTTGGGCACACTATCAGTATCACAGCTGACACACAAATCAAGTGACTTGCGTAACTCATATGTGTCTGATGCCCCTTTGTACCGATTTCTAAATAAACAATTTAAAATGTCATTGATCGATACGGAATAGAGACGTATCACGTCATTCACATGGGTATTAAAATGTAAGTCAAAATTTCAAGTTACGTAATAGTTAGAAGGTAAATAGAATGAAATAACAAGATATGAAATATAATAAAGAAAATAAATATATGAATGAATACGTGTTGAAATAAGATATAGAACAAAGATATGCGTGAGGCCGAAAATCCTGGGTTTGAGTCCTGTACATGAGATCGTGGACGTGAACTGCTGAGGAGTATTATACTAGAACAAAACTGACGTCCACTGATTCCAGGTTTTCAATAGTGTCCTAGCTTAAATCGACTCATGAATTCAACCATTAAATGTATGTGAAAGACAATTATTCACTTGATGATAAAGAATTAGAGATAAATGTGAATCAAGAAATAACAAATAAGATGTGAAAGGGATTTTAGAACTATGATGAATCAAAATATAAAACTCAAAACTCATGGAACTAGCGAATATTGTTTTTCTGTAGTTATTTACAAATTGTTATTCGTACAATTAATTTGTTATTGATGGTTTGAATCTTTCCATTGATGTTTAGGATCGATGAAAGCTCCATAGCCAAACCATTCAGCTCAAAGAACAAAACTCTATCAAAATCATTTACCTGAGCTACGAATCTTTTCGTCACGATCAATAGATGGTTATAACTGAAATTGATCAGTCTCTTGTTTACATATTTTCATCTTGTGAGGATTGCCTCGTGTTTCGCCCAATTTGAGACTCGTCAGCCTGGTGTATCTACATCGCAGAGTTGATGTTCACTCCAACACCTGAACCCAGTATCAAGTGAGTATCAACTTTGAAATGCAGCTGAAGAGGTCAAAAATGGAACCAAAAGCGCGTCTTGGATTCTACTGCTATCCACTATTCATCTCTATTAGTTATATCACAGAAAACTCATATAATCAATATTTATGTGTGTTTTTTTGTTTTAATAATAAAAGCCACTCTTTAAGACCAATGAGTAAACACGTTCTGATAATTGATCTCTACGTGTTTTCTAAGAAGTTTATTCATTCAAAGATATAATTTGATTTTCATTAAAACTTTTCAACTGAATATCGATTGATAGACATTTTAATGTTTATCTTAACAAAGTAACTTCCAAATCGCACAAATCTCTTTGTGATAGAGTTTTGTTTTCTGAACTGGATGGTTTGGTCATAGAGCTTTCATTATTCTTCTGAACGACATCATCCGCATCACAAACTTCAGATAGAAGTGAAGTGTTTAATTTTCTCCACATATAGTTCACAGCTTGACCTGTAGACCATAATGTTGATTGGTTCTTGTTAATCTTAAATCTGTCATTGTTTACTTCTTTGTTTTGGTTCTATCTCCCATCGGTCTACAAAACATCCAATTATTTATTTTGTGATAGAGTTTCTGACCTACCATCTGAAAGATGTGATGAGTAATTAATGTTGAAATAAAACTGAACAATTTGATTACGATACTTTTGATTATATATATGTATATATACCAATTACAATGATTTGTAAAGGATGAATGCCAGAAGTCATCAGACAGTTTTTCCTTATTAATATAAGTATTCAAGATCATCTAATTGGGAATCGAATTCAAGACTATCAGCCTTGTGTGCAAAAGCTCAATATTTACACTACCGACTCGTGGTATAATGATCGTTATAAGGATCCAATGAAGAAGAGTTCAAATAAGTCATATTTCACAATAAATCAATTAATGATAGAAGACAATTCCGTTATCAATGTCAGAAAGTCTATTTCAAAATGAATTACCGCATGATTTTATTGAAACATTTGTCTAGTTTAAACTATTATCAGGAGGGGTTTTGTGAAGATTGTAGTAATTTCATTAGTTGAGATCATGAATCATTTGAAACTAGATTACTATGGAAAACTTGGAAGCACTAGACGGCCGTTTCATCCTATTGTAAGACTCCTCAACAGTGCACGAGGCGTAGATATTATATGATTTACTATTCTAGAGTTATTCCCAGTCTATTAATTACAATCTCTCATATTCACAACCACTTTAGTTAGATCTTGTTCAAATGTATATTTTCTATTTTATGGTACATAATGATTTGTTTGGTTTGTATATAAACCTAATATGTTTGAAAAATATATGATTTATATTTTATGGAGGCTAAGATTGATATTCTGGACTTTGATAACCAGGTCTAAGCTAGAAGAAAGATCAATAAATGCTCTAGACTGCTTATACGGTTTTGTGTATCATTAGTTTGGTCAATAAATCACTATTCTCTAATTGGCGGTATCATAATGTTATATATATGAATAAGAACACAAGGCCATAAGTTATAAACAATCTTTTGTTTCTAATTGTACTTAAGATAACTGAGAGAAATGAAATGAAATCATTGAAATTATTCAATAGAATTCAATTTGTAAGTAATTTAGTGCTTATCATTATTTATTTTATGTATATTTAATGCTTTGATAGTAAACTGGTCATTTTAAGCTTTATAAAATATACTTACTTACTTGCTTACTAACTCCTGTTACTCCCAATGCAATACATGCCGACGATCAGCATTCTCAAATCCACTTTCTCCTCGGCTTTCCCTTCTAGTTCTATCCAATTGTTGCTCATTTTTCTCATGTCTCTCTCCATTTCTCAACCTAATGTCTTCTTTGGTCTTCCACTTCTTCTTTGGCCTTGAAGATTCCATGTGAGGGTTTGTCTTGTGACAAAGTTGAGTGAGTTCTTCAATTTTTGTCCTATACAATTCCAGTGCTTCTTTCGGATTTCTTCCTCCACTGTGATCTGGTTTGTTCTCTCTCACAGTAGGTTGTTGCTAATAGTGTCCGGTCAACAAATCCGAAGTATTTTGCTTAGGCAGCTATTAATAAACACCTGTATCTTGTGAATGATGGGTTTTCGTAGTTTTTTAGGTATTCGCCTTATCTAGTAGAACTATCTTGATATTTATATTGAGAATTCTGACTTCGGTGTTGGTTGACAAAGAGTTGTTTTGAGTTCCAGATGTTCTCCAGTTGTAAATATTCTGCTCTTGCTTTGCCGATCCGCGCCATTTACAACCATATTGTATTTTATACAATATGCCTATGAGTTAAATAAACTTGCAATGTTTCCATAATTCATCAAGTATTCGAATATGTTTGTATCTTCCTATTGTAGTCTAGAACTGTACATGATCAGTTGCTTGTTAGCATATATGCATCCTGTGCGGATTGCCTTGATATTGACCTAGGTCACAAGCATTTTTAAACAAAGATAGTTAGTGGCTAGCAGTGGAATTCAGGACGAGCATTTCGTCTTATTTTGAACTCATCATCTTCATGTACCTGCATTTCACAGTTGATGTTCATTCAACATCTCCAACACCAGTATCATCAAATTCAAATGCTATCAAGTTATTAACTTACATACTGAGTCCTGATAGCCAATTTCTTGTGCAATGGAGTGAAGTTGAAATTCACTTCATATTATTTACTTGAATATTCCCATTGATGTTTAACACTGTAATTGATCAGTCTCTTATTGGCATATGTACATCCTGTGCAGACTGTCTCGACATTTCCTTAATTCACATAAATTCTATGCAACGATAGAATCCGGGATCTACACAACTTTGTGTTATTTGTGACTCGCCAACTAGATGTACCTGCATCTCACAGTTGATGTTCACTCTTGCACTTCCACCCAGTACCGCCAATTCAAACCAGATACGCATCCTGTATTCCACTGTTGCTACCCACTATGCATCTATGCTTATAAAGTTTGTGACTCAACACAATATCAAGGCAATGCTCACAGGATGCACATATACCAATAAGTGACTGATCAAATGTATTCCTAAATAACAATGGGAAGATACAATCAAATAATACCAAGTGAAGTTAAAATTCACTTCATTGCACAAACAGGTGGCTATCATGACTCACTAGTTAGGTGGATAACGTGTTGTCGTTTCAAGTGGACGGTAATCTGTTTGAGTCTCAGAGTGAATATCAACTCAGGAATGTAAGTACATCCAGTTGACAAGTTCCAGATAAGATAAAACGCGCTTTCTCAATTCCTCTACTACCCATTATCCATCATTGTTTATAAAGAATATCAGTAAATGTTTTAATCAATCAATTCAAAGTTCAAAATATAGAAAATTAAAACATGATTGTTTTTAACAGAATAATTCATTATTAATTTCAATAGTTGAGATTATGAGCGGATTAAAGCTAGACGACCATGATAAACCTGGAATGCGGTATGTTGGATGTGCACTGCTGAGAACTCCCACAATTTGATGAAACAGTTGTCTAATTCATCCAGGTTTTCCATAATGATCTATCTTCAATTGGCTCATGATCTTAATGATTGAAATGACTATCATATCCACAATAACACTTTCTGATATCATTTGTTTGTTTTATGTTCAATTCAGTAATCACATATTCATATCATTTTAACATAAATATGAAATGTAATCAAGTTATATGTCATAATGAACCAATTCATTGGATTAAGTTAATCATATATATAAGTAAGTAATCTCATTTGTTTATTATACTAATAATCAATTGATATGCTAAATGAACTCGTGACTAGATAACTATATGACCATATATATATAGTTCTATACGATGAAAGACGTCATTTTCGCATCAAGAAGATCATTACAGCTATTAATCTCATACGTAAATTCATTTTTATGGTAATATCTATTATGTAATATATATATAAGCATTATTATGAATTGCCAATTGAATTATGGGTCCTGGGTTCGAATCCCGAAAGGGGCGAGGTCGTGGATGCGCACTGCTGAGGAGTTCCATAATAGAACGAACCGGCCGTCCAGTGCTTTCAGGTTTTTCATGGTGTTCTAGCTTCAACTGACTCATGATCTTAACCATTGAATTATATTCATTTAATATGATAGCCTAAGTTTATGAATGATAATATGGTTCATCTAAGACAAAAAAAAGAAATACAGCGAACTTCTTGAATATCTAGACTACTTATTCCTGTCAACGTTCGCGCGCGAATTCCGCGATTGGAATCGTGGATGAGCGGTGTTAAAAAGTCCCATACTAAAACGAAACTACTGTCTAATACTTTCAGATTTTCTCAAATATTCACATTGTATTTCTACATAGTTATTTATTATTTGAACTACCATTAGAATATTATAAACCCTAGTTAATATTAGATATTATAGTCAAAATAAATACATCAAAATAGCGTGTTTCCATCCATTTTCCCATTCATTCTATCTATTTATATAAGCTTGTGATGTTAACAATAGAAACTGCGTATGGAATGTTGATTAATAAACATTGAATTCATCAGAAATCTCTGAATTCATAGTTCTTAGGCTTAATTCACTAGAGAGTTGAATTCTAAGAATTTTTTATTATTTTTCTTTAGTATAAGAGTTTGTATACATTGATGGATGTATTAATGTTTGTAAGCAACTACTTAAAGTCAAGAAGTACTCCACCTGGAGTCCCTCTGGGGCTACTACCGTTCCGAAGCCCGAATAAAGTAGGAGGTTTGAGCATGGGGTTAGCTACCCCACCAAGTAGAAAACTAACTCGCTAAAAAAACGCTAACCAGAAAACATAATTCAAACTTCACAATGATTCTATCCTATTCACAGACGCATCAGCAGTGGTGATCAAACCTCATACTTTCAGCTTTAGCCTAATTTCTAGATTCCTAAGCCGGAATTGAATGATTTACAACCATACTTTCTTACTTACTTACGCTCGTTACTCCCAATGGAGGAGCATTCTCCAAACCACTCTCTACTAGGCTTTCCTTTCCAGTTCTATCAAATTTTTGTTTATTTTTTTCCATGTTTGTCTCGATTTCTCGACGTATTGTGTTCTTTGGTCTTCCTTTTCTCCTTTGGCCTTGAGGATTTCAAGTGAGGGCTTACCGTGTGACGGGATTAGCTACTTTCCTTAATGTGTATACTATCTACTTCCAGTGCTTCTCCCTGATTTCTTCCTCCACTGGAACCTGGTTTGTTCTCTCCCATAGTAGGTTGTTGCTGATAATGTCTAGCCAACAAATCAGAAATATTTTACGCAGACAGCTATTAATAAACATTCTTATCTTCTCAATGATGGCGTTCGTAGTTCTCCAAGTTTCCGCCTCACACAGTAGAACTGACTTGACTTTTATATTGTAAACTCTGGCTTTGGTTTTGGCTGGCAGACTGTTATTTTGAGTTCCAGCGGTTCTTCAGTTGTAAATACTCTGCTCTTGCTTTGCCAATCGGCGTCATGTACAACCATAACTTCCATCCAATCCATGATATTGCTCAGTCAAATTCTGTCACCAGTAAGTAATCGCTTCATACTCCTGTAGGAATGAGCTAATTACAGTTGACTTATCACTCACTAGTGAACGATTTCATGGTTGTCTAATCCATAATTCCGTTGAATTTTTCACATAAAGTTTCAATCCAGTCATTACTCTAAGTAACTCAACATTACGTGCACTATCTTCAAAGCGTAAATGATTGAAAGTGGTCAAAGTGGTTCCGTATTACATATCCTTTTTGAAATAATTTGAATTTATCAAGAATAAGTGGCTGTAGTATTGTTGGAAACTCAGCCTGGAGCCCCTATGAGGCTGACACCGGTCCCAAGCCCGGATAAAAGAGAAGGATTGGACATGGGGTTAATGATTCCATCCCGTAGAAACCTAACTCAGTAAAAAATATCGTTAACCAGAAAAATAATATTGTTGGAACTATTATTTCATGTTGAATTCAAACTATTTTGTACTTCACAATCTTAAACGATTGATTGTCTTTATGTTAAATGATTTAAAAGAGATAACAGTAAACCCTGTCTATACCTAGATATAAACGTACAGTTATATACTCAAAGATATTAGTTCTTTGACTAGACTTTGAAAAACCGCTTGAATCACTGATAGTTATGTTTATATAGACAAGAAGAACACCAAGATGTGTTTTGTATGTTTCTATTTGGAAGCTATGACTTGTTACGTCAGTTATTTCATATTTATATTAGACATATACAAAAAAGGTTTGAAGGTAAAAATGGATAATAATTGAATATTGAATTGAATATAAAACAAATCAATAATAACAGAAAGTGTTATTGTGGATATGATAGTCATTTCAATCAATAAGATCATGAGCCAATTCAAGATGAATCATTATGGAAAACCAGGATGAACTAGACAACTGTTTCATCAAATTGTAGGAATCCTCAGCAGTGTACATCCAACATACCACATTCCTGGTTTATCATGGTGGTCTAGCTTTAATCGGTTCATGATCTCAACTATTGAAATAAATAATGAATTATTCTGTTAATAACAATCATGTTTTAATTTTCTATATTTTGAACTTTGAATTGATTGATTAAAACATTTATTGAAAATCTTGATAAGCAATGATGGATGGTGGGGGGTAGTAGAGGAATTGAGAAAGCGCGTTTTGTCTTATCTGGTACTTGTCAACTGGATATAACTACATTCCTGAGTTGATATTCACTTTGGAGACTCAAATAGATTACTGTCCACTTGAAACGACATTACGTTATCCACCTAACTAGTGAGTCATGATGACCACCTGTTTGTGCAATCAAGTGAATTTTAACTTCACTTGGTATAATTTGATTGTATCTTCCCATTGTTATTTAGGAATACATTTGATCAGTCACTTATTGGCATATGTGCATTTTGTGAGCGTTGCCTTGATATCATGTTAAGTTACAAACTTTATAAGCATAGATGCATAGTGGATAGCAGCAGTGGAATACAGGATGCGCATCTGGTTTGAAATGGATGGTAGTTGGTTCAAGTGCTAGAGTGAACATCAACTGTGAGATGCAGGTACATCTAGTTGACTAGTCACAAATAGCACAAAGTTGCGCGCATCCTGGATTGAACTGCTACCCACTATCCATCTTTGCATGGAATGCATGTGAATTAAGGAAATATCGAGACAGTCTGCACAGGATGTACATATGCCAACAAGAGACTGATCAATTGCAGTGTTATACATTAATGGGAATATTCAAGTAAATAATATGAAGTGAATTCCAACTTCACTCCATTGCACAAGCAATTGGCTATCAGAACTCAGTAGGTGATTCGATAACTTGATAGCATTTGAATTTGATGATACTGGTGTTGGAGATGTTGAATGAACATCAACTTTGAGATGTAGGTACATGCAGATGATGATTCCAAAATAAGACGAAATGCTCGTCCTGAATTCCACTACTAGTCATTCTTCATCACTGCCTAAGAAGCTTGTGGAAAACGCGATGGCGTTTGAAGCAAACAGTGCTTGGTTCGAGACCTATAATGAACATCAACTCTGTGATCCAAGTACATCCAACTGACGAGTCCCAAATAATACGAAACTCACGTTTTGGATTCCATTTCTAGTCGCCATCCATCTTTGCCTAATCTAATATCAATTCAATCTTATATTTTTCTGAATGATATAAATAGAATATATTGCATAGATAAGAATAATCAATTCTATTTAGGTTAACTTAAATGATTCATATAAACTGTATGGTATAATCTAATAGAAATTCCAAACTTTTTTTCTTTCTAAAGACTATTTATAACAACATACTAAACATTCACTTCTATAATATTTCTCTATTAAATAATGATCAGTTATGACGTCCTTGTATTGGTCATAATTATCATTTAATAGAATGTTCATTAAGATTTTAAGTTTTATACTTTTGTTAGTGTTAACTTATTTTTTCTTTATGATTGGCACTATGAACCGATTGATTTTAGACCACCGATAGAAACTTGGAAGTACTGAACGGCCATTTCATTCTATTGTCGGACTCCTTAATAGTGAGTATACACGATCTCACTCTCGAGATTTCAATCCAAGACCTTCAGTCTTGTTTGCGAGGGCCTAATCTAGTGGACCACTGAGCCGGCATTCGATGGTGTTAATGTCTAATATCAAACAATCCACGAAATTGCGTGACCATCGTCCATTGTTCTGTAGTAGATACCTATCTCTACCCGACACAGTCTAGCTTCACTGATCACGGCTTCTCACTAGAAGTTCGAAAATTTACTCACGAAGCTAGTCACTAGTGAGCACACATGTTAATCATTGATATAGGGGATGTGGAGACTATTAAGTTTTTGATTAGGATCATGAACCGAAACGGCCGTCCAGTGCATCCAGGTTTCCAATGGTGGTCTAACACCATTGCCTTCCTTGATCTCAATCAGAAACTTAATAATCTCCATAACCCCTATACTGATGATATTTTTCCGTAGTTTTGATGACTCTTCAGCACTGTAAATCCATGATCCTGTACGCGGAATTCAAACACAGAATCTCGGGTCTTGCATGCGAACGCTTAATCTCTAGATTACCGAACTTGTCAGCATCTAATAGTGTTAATCTCTAACTTTAATCAATACATGAATTTACGACACCATCCATCATTATCTTTAATATGTTACTGTCTCACTACAGAGTTAGCTGAACTGCTACAGTCTTGAGATGGTGGAGATTTGTAGCTCAATTGGATGATTTTAGATAGAGCTCAGAGAACAAAAATCCATCAAAAACTGCTACAATCTTCACAAAACTACCGTTTCTGATTATTTTGTTAATTATATTTCAGAATCCCGCCTGAAATCTTCTTAGAATTACTGTTATTCGGAAGTTAGAATAAAGTATATGCTTTTGTTATGTAATCAGTAACTCTATCCTATAAGTGCAGAAACAATCTATATCTTAAAAAACAGCACCGAAATTGAGTGCAAGTTAAAATTGTTTACCCTTTAAACTAGTGTTTATCACTTGAATTCATAAAAACCATAGTAGTAGTGAATAACTATTTTATTCCTATATCATTATAGTTAGTTACATCACATCCGGAATTCAGTTAACAATCGGGACTGAGTACTTAGTGACTGACGATAAGCTAATTACTGGTAGGTTCATGAGTTTTATCTTATATGTAAATGATTTATGTACAATTCCTAGTTGAGTATTGAGTGGAATTTCCTGAATCGTTCATAATTGTATTTAGATAATTATGTGATATTCTTTGACATTAGTTTGAAATCAAAGTCTCTTTTCCTGCTAAACTAATCACGTTATCCATTTAGCTACTGAGTCCTGTTAGCCACTTCCTTGTGCGATGGGGTAAAATTTAAATTCACTAAGTGTTTTTGATTTAGATCTTGAACCGATTGATGTTAGACTACCATTGAAAACCTGGAAGCAGTGGAGGACAGTTTCGTCCTATTGTGGGACTCATCAGCACTGCGCATCCTCAATCCCGGGGCCTTCAGTCTCGCACGTGAACGCTTAACTTACTAGACCATTGATCTGACCAGCATCCAGTGGTGTTAATATCGAACCTCAACTAGTCCACAAAATTGCGTGACTATCGTCCATTGTTCTGAAGTAGATACCTGTCTCTACCCGACATGGATTAGCTCCACTGATCACGGCTCCTCACTAGACGTTCGAGAATTCCCTCACGAAGCTAGTCACTAGTAAGCATATAGTAATTATCAGTATGAGTTGATGTAGATTATTATGTCCTTGATTGAGATCATGAACCGAATGATGTTAGACCATCATTTATTATAGTATCAGCTTTTATAAGAAGTATACACCCATAGATTCCTTCTTTAAGTTTGATTATGTAACTTCGTTAGATCATAAATTAGGAAAATAAATTATGGTTATGATTTGACAAATCAATTAACTGATTCTCATTCAGTATGCACTTTGAATAGTTCCTGTTAAGATAGTTTTTTTTCAAAGATCATTTCAATTGATAAATGATTTCATTCATATTACGTCACTTTATATTTGATTGGGCTAGGACTGATAAAATGAAATAGAAAAAATAACGTAAGATTACATAAGACATTCGTGAAGTAATTAATTCGTATAATGTCTACCTTGATTATGTTTGGAAAATATTACTTATGCCTGTTCATTCTCGTAAAGGAGCATCAGTACTCAACATCGAACCCTGTCACGGGCAATCTTTTCCGGCTCTTTCCAGTTGTTATTCATCTTTTTCATATCTGCTTGTATTTTTCGACGTAATGTGTTATTTGGCCTTCCTCTTTTTTGTTTTCACTCAAGATTTCAAGTTACAGATTATCTGGTGATGCAGTTCAGTGATTTCCTCGATGTATTTCCTATCCACTTCCAATATCTTTTCCTAATTTCAGCTTCAAATGGAAGTTAGTTCGTTCTCTCCCACAGTGAACTGTTGCTTGTAGAATCCGGCCAATAGACATTAAATATCTTACCTAGGCAATTGTTTATATATACTTGTACCTTTTTGATGATAGTTGTAGTATTTCTGCACGTTTCAGCTCCATACAATAGAACTGTGTTGACATTTGCATTGAACATTCTCACTTTGATATTGGTTTGCAGACGGCTTTTTGAGTTCCATGTATTCTTCAACCGTAGATTCCCACCACGGATTTGCCAATCCTCACTTTTACCTTTGCATCTGGTCCTCCTTGTTCATTAATGATACTTCTCAAATACGTGAAAGATTCCACATCATCCAGAGTTTCGCCATCAAGTGTGATTGAGTCGGTGTTCTCTGTGTTGTATTTGAGGATGTTACTTTTTACTTTGTGTATGTCGAGGCCTACTGATGCAAAGGGTGCTGTTTGGAAAATATGGAAAATTATTATAATGAAAAAGAGCTTCTTCATAGATCGACATAAGGGAATGATTATTAGTTAAACAAACATTGTAGACCAAGAAGTATTGAATATTCAATTAACACTCAGTATTGTTTATCTGTCATCCTACGTAGAGTACAAGCCAGAATTTTTAATCTTTTGAATAGTTAAATTAGAATGTAATACCTCTTGTCTTTCAGTGATTACCTAACTAAGATAGGCTCATGATGTGAAACTGAAAACTCAATAATCTACAGAAGACATTAGTAATAATATTAGTATCTTCATGAATTCCCATATCAGAAGGGAAAGGTTTTGTAGGCATTGTAGTAATTTGATAATTCGATTCATGAGTGAATTGAAGCTAGACCAACATGGATAACCTGAAAGCACTGAACGGCCGTTTCGATCAAATATGGGACTACTCAGTAGTGCAAATCTATGACCCCACCTTGCAGGATACGAACCCAAGGCGTATCAGTCTCACTCGCGAGCGCTTAACTACTAGTCCACTGAGCCGGCATCCAACGGTGTTAATGTCCAACTTCAGCTAATCCATGAAATTGAGCAACACATCCACCATTGTCTTCATCAGTGAATTACTATCTCATAACAGACCTGATTGATCTCTACTGGTCACGGCTTCTCACTAGAACACAAGGGTATACATCTTGAAGCCAGTCACTAGTGAGCATATGTTTTCATTTATAATTCATTAAGTAGAAACCAAATGTAATCTTTCCCTAATCCTTGATATTTGTCAAATTCTATTTACTAAGAATTAAACTTCCAATCTATACTCAATAGTGAACAAAACTGTATATTCGTAAATAGGAATAACAAACTGATATAGATCTCTATTGAACAAATAAACTTATGCCAATACACATAGGGATTGATGTCAATGAAAAATTGTTGCGCGGAAGAAGGATTTCATAGGGGTTATGTTCATTAAACTGAACTATGCTGAACATTTTCATAAACTTTTAATACACTTACATACAGTAATGACACCATCCCGGAGTGAACATTAATTCTGCGATGCAGGTATATTCAGCTGACAAGTCCCAAATAGTACGAAATGCGAGTCCTGGATTCCACTGCTAGCCATTATCCATCTTTGCTTAAAAAGCTTGTAGCTTAAGGCTATATTGATGCAATCCGCACAGGATGCACAAATGCCAACCAGAGACTGATTAATTGCAATCCTAAACAACAATGGGAAGGTACAAGTAAGCAACACTAAGTAAATTTCGACTTCACTCCATCGCACAAGGAAGTGGCTATCAGGACATAGTAGATAAGTGGATAACGCAACTGCGTTTGAAACAAACGGTACTGGGTTTGAGTCCCGAAGTGAATAGTAAATCTGCGATACAGGTACATACAGCTGATGAGTCCCAACTGGGACGAAGTGGCGCACGTCTTGGATTTCACCGCTAACCACGATCCATCTAAACTGTATTACTATTTGGCAATTATCCTTAATTCTTATTCTAAACATATCAAAGTACAGTGTAAACCATATATAAACCAATAAAATAGAAAATTATGACTAAGTAAAATTATCATCTTCTACCTCCACTCCCCCTTCCCTCACACTTCCTCTTTGTTGAATATAAACTCGCTTAGCCTGATTCTAATTTGTTGTCTTTCAAGATAAGACTTATCACAATCGTCAACAAAACACAACACGATTAATAGCAACATAATCCATTGATATCATATGTAGACAGCTAATCGATAAGGCTTGTATATCTATGTATATATATATATAACTTTCACAGTATGGGATCATCATAAACTTCAAGGGTCGAATCGACAGAATATAAAGAATTAAGTAAAAATAGAAAAAAGAAAGAAAAAAAACGAACAAAGTGAAATTGATAAAAAAGGAAGAAAAGTCAAATTGTTTATTAACTTTCAAGTGCACTTTATGTTGTCATATGATTTTGTAAGCGCACTCATATAATTGTTACTGTGCATATAATTGTGTAGCTATGTTAACTGTACATATATATATATATATATATGATGTTCATTTCATTTATAAAGTGTAGGTTAAATCTACATTCTCTTAAGAAAGAAAGGCGGTTTTTATTGATGATGGTTTTGTGAAAATTAGATTAGAAATTTAATCGATTCCGTCTTTGAAGGTGTAGATGATGATGATGATGATGATGCTTCAGTACTGTTAGCTTCAAATGCCTCCATTACTGATAAAAATCTTGTCTCCATTAATGACTAACTTTAAAATGTTATTCTTAATATTTTAATATAAAATCATGATTAGTGAAATTCAAGTATCTTTAATATGAGATAGTTATCCACTAATGATATTACATTATAGTTACATAATTTTGAGAAATAACACATAGGGAAATTTAAGATTCTCCTATAGAACACAGCATGCACCAATCCAATCACAATTGACGGAGAAGATTTGGAAGATGTTATTCATCAATAGAATCCATATATACTCAGTAACATTATGAAAAATGAAAACTACCAATTTCGAGTACTGTATGACAAACACGTATTCTACCATTGAACCACCGAAGTCACGAGTGATGGAACAGTGTATGATGCTATTGTTGTGCGCTAGCTTAAAGAGGATTGTATGCTATATGCGTGCAAATGCGTCCCTTTATTGTTCCTATATTGATTTTGAGTACTGATATAGAAAAATAATAACAGAGAGACTATAATTTATGGATGAACCAATCATATTTAAGATAACAGGTCTTAGATTTTAGCATGGAATTCATTCAACCATTTGGCTAAATAGAGTCCTGGAATTATAGCTTATTGTCAGTTGGTGATCAATAGCCTAAATCCAATTCCTAACCTTAACTCCATCAACTATAAATCATAATCCTTATTCTTCAAACTGCTTTATAACCCTCATTTAGTCCTAGTTATTACGTGAACACTCTCAAGATTAGTCTAGCTTCGCTCATAGGTCATTCAAAGTAACAATGAAATCCAACTATAATCAGTTAAGAAACTCTTAAACAAAACATTTAGATTGCATTCTTCCTTATAGTCTATCTATTGTATATAATCTATGGTAAATTGTAATTCATTACTAACATATTACATTAACATTTTATCATACATTACAGTTTTATTCTTTATCTATCTATCTATCTATCCACACATCTATCTATCTATTTTTCAGGTCATTACATAATAGAACTAATGAAATCAATCAGTAACCATCTACTCAATACAGATTACATGATACTATATCGTTTAATTGTTATTATTCTATATACAATCTCATCACAGATGGGTTATTTCTATATCTATCCAAACAATAATGAAGGTATTCAACTAATTCAAGTACTTTATCTATTCAAGTTCTTCACATGTGTTACAATGGTAATTTATCTTAATAGTAGTAGTAATAATACTGTTCTCTTTTGTATAGACATTAAATGTAATCTACTTTATAACTTCAATACCATTACAATACTTTAATCTTGGTCATGTTCGTGGTTATCAATTCTTGGTTGTATTCTCATTTAATTCGGTAAGACATTATCATTATGTATGTGTGTGAAGGTGTGTTGGTGTATGTGAGTTTGTGTGTGTGTGTAGTTCATTTAATAATAATTATTATCAATAGCTGAAGTCATGATTCAATTGAAGCTAGACCACCAAGGAAAACCTGAAAACACTGGACGGCCGTTTCGTCCTAGTATGGGACTCCTCGAAGGTGCGCATTCACGATACCGCCCCTCGCGAGATTCGAACACAGGATCTATTGGACTTGTGCACGAGCGCTTAACCATTAGGTCACTGAGCCAGGCGGCATCCAAAGGCGTTAATCTCTAACTTCAATCATTCCACGTTGTTGCGCCACCGTCCACCATTGTCTTCAGTGAGCTGATATTTCACAACAGACCTAATTGAACTCCACTGATAACGGCTTCTCACTAGAACTCCTGGAAATGCCTCTTGAAGTCAGTCAATAATGAGCAGATGGTTATTATCAGATAGGGTTTTGTGTTGATTTTAGAAATTTCAGTGGTTGAAATCATGAGTCATTTGAAGCTAGACCATGATGGAAAACCTGGAAGCAATGGACAGCCGTTTCGTCTAAGTATGGGACTGGTTAGCAGTGAAATAATCATTTTTATTAATGGCTTTATTCAATATTATATTTCGAGCACAATATAGAATTCTTAACACAAGGTATTTCAACAACTTTCTTTTGCAAAAAAAACAATGAAAAAAAAAAGAAAAAGGTGAAAAAACGATCTGAAAATCTGTACAACATTTCAAATTAGGGACATGTTTAAGAATACAGGTTATTGACTAGGTTAACTTTAACAACTTGTTCGTCACAGTGTATATTTGCTAGGTAAGGTATGATAGAACTTTTATACTTTTGTTTGCATGCATAGATTTTAATAGATTTACATCTCATTTTACCAGAAGATATACAAGGTGGAAGATAAGTGTGAAGGGGATGATTTATATCTGATAACATAACACTTGCCAAGAATCTGTAAGACTTTAGATATCTATCCACAATCATAATAATTATGATCTTGAAAGATTCATCATACACCTTGTTAACTACCTTCATCACTTTCTGTAATACAACAAAGTCTTTTCTCAAAATCTCATGAAAGAATTGAATATAGTCCATCATGTTAATTAGTTTAAATGGTTTGAATTATTTTCTATGGTTAGCGTTTTATTAGCGAGTTAGTTTTCTACAGGTTGGGGTCGCTAAACCCATGCCCAACCCTCCTCCTTTACCCGGGCTTGGGACCGGCAGTAACTCTAGAAGAGCTACAGGCAGGAGCAGTCTCTGCATGAATAGGCTTCAACATACACAAGAGGAAAACCAAGGTCCTCAAATTCAAAACGGGGAACAACAATCCAGTCACTCTTGATTGCGAAACTCTGGAAGATGTAGAATCCTTCACATACCTGGGAAGCATCATCAATGAACAAGGAGGCTCAGATGCAAACCTAAATGTGAGGATCGGCAAAGCAAGAGCCGCATTCCTACAATTGAAGAACATATGCAACTCAAAACAACGGTCTGTCAACCAATATCAAAGTGAGAATCTTCAATACTAACGTCAAGACAGTTCTGCTGTACGGCGCTGAAACTTGGAGAACTACCACCATCAAGAAGGTACTTGCATTTATAAATAGTTGTCTAGGCAATATACTCAACATCCATTGGCTGGATACCATCAGCAACAGCCTTATGTGGGAGAGAACAAACCAGCTTCCAGTTGAAGAGGAAATTAGGAAAAGACGATGGAAATGGATATGACATACATTACGGAAATCATCAAACTGCATCACGAGGCTAGCCCTAACTTAGAATCCTCAAGGGAAGCGTAAAAGAGGAAGGAGCTGGGAAGGATTGCCCAGGACAGGGTTGAATGGAGAATGCCAGTGAGCGTCCTTTGCTCCTTCACGAGTAGTAACAGTTGTAAGTAAGTAAGCAATGTTAATTAGTGATCGATAGCTAGAATTTAGCAGCTCAGGAATTGATATATGAATAATGTTTATTCTCTTCAATACATATTGTCAACCATCACAATGTCTTTTATTGTATCATATGCAGCAAAAGGTCATAAGCTTTTCATAAATGCGCCTATATAACAATAACAGGTAGCCTAGATATTCAAACAGGCCACCTTATTAATTATTATTATCATCATTAATCATCTATTTATTCCTAGACAATGACGCTTTTCTATTGGAGTGCATTTCTTTATGATCCCAAAATGATTTATGAAATTGATGAATTAAAAAATATGCCATTATGGTATAATCATTTATGTGTAAGTGTTTATTATTATTATGAATTGTTTCTTGTTTTAATTCTCTTTAATTGATTAGTAGTATTAAACGTATATAAATCATTTTTAGCACTAGAATACTATTAAAGCCAATTTAAAATGGTAGTATGAATGGAATAGTTATGATTGTAGAGAGTATTAAGTTTTTGATTGAGATCATGAATCGATCAGTGTTAGATCACTATTGAAAACTTCGAAGTTTATTCGCATCAATTATAGACAGGTATCTATCTCAGAAAATGGTAGACGATTGCTCAATTTTAATGTATTGGTAGAAGTTAGACATTAACACCGTTCAATGCCAGCCAGATGAATGACCTAGAAGTTGAGTGTCCACGCGAGAGACCCAAAATCCTGGGTTTGAATCCCGCGAGATGAATGCTCATTACTGAGAAGTTCCTTACTAGGACCAAACAGATATTCAGTGCTTCAAGGTTTTCAATATTAGTCTAACATCAAATGATTCATGATCTCAATGATCTTAAAACGTAACAGTTGTAGTTATTTTAAATGTTTCTAACATGCAATTAAAGTGTTTCACCATGGAGTTTTGAATGATTTCCCATTTACTTGATCAATATGTTTTGTTGAAAATTTCATTTCAACCTTTAAAAGTTCATTGAATCCATGGGTGAGATTATAATTCATGGACGACCTTTGAGTGATGTAAAACTGACCTTGAAAGTGTCCACCTGATAATTAGGACTAAATGAGGGTTGTAAATTAGTGTGAGAAATCAGAATTATGGGCGAGATTCTAATTTATGGACGAGCCAGTCAGAGGCGTTTTAGAGATTTCAAGGTTACGGCGCCAACTTCAATACTTAATGATAACGTACGATCGGTTTACAGGGAATTTTGTACAAAACGTGATAATTGAGCGGCTATAACAAATAAAACGGCGAGACTATAATTTGTGGACGAATCAATCAGGTATAAGATAATGGATCTCGGATTTTGTCATGAAAGCCTTTCATCCATTTGACTAAATAGATTTCTGGCATTATAGATGATGTCAGTTCGTGATGAAAATCCTATATATAATTCCTAACTAAGGCAAATTATGACAATTGTTGCGAACTGGATAATAAAAGTACCGGTAAAACTGACTGCAGCCAGGTACTACAATATATAAGGATAATTGGAGAGTGTACAGACTCCTACATAGACTTGATTATGTGCATCGTGTCGTTATCCATAAGTAGCATTTTGTGCACTCAACAACCGGAGTGCACATAAACAATATTGAAGCTATGTGGTCGAGGCTGGAAGGGTTTTTGAGACTTTGTCATGGCTCCTGAGATCGACTATTCTGTAGCCGTATGAATGATTTCCTCTGTTGCATGCATTACGATTTTAGAACCTCTGAACCTCTTTCTAACCTTCACAAGTTTTTGAACCACATAAGAAGTGTATCCGCTATATTTCATTGGTTTTGCATAACATATTTTTACTCTATACTGACTGTATGCTGATTATCTAATATTTCTCAAGGTCACTTAAGATTCGTTCAAAGGTCGTCCATAAATTAGAGTCTCGCCGAATTATGTTTTACAGTTGATCGTTAGGAATACGAATTAGAATTAGAGTTTTCATCACGAACTGACGTCAACTAAAATGATAAAACTCTGTTTAGCACAATACAAGACTTCTTCAATGAAGAACCAAAATTTAGCTAAAAATGATGCCCAGTACAACACATATATTCACTAATAAAACTCTTGAGAATAAACATAACTGTTAAATTCACTTGGTATTATTTGGCTTGTATCTTCCCATTGAGGTTTAAGACTGCGATTGATCAGTCTGTTATCGGCATATTTGCATACTGTGCGCATGCCTCGATATTGCAAGTGGCTATCAGGATTCAATAGCTAAGTGGAAAACGCGATGGCGTTTGAAGCGAATGGTACTGAGTTCGAGTCCCAGAGTGAACATCAACTCTGAGATGCAGGCACATCCATCTGACGAGTCCCAAATAGGACGAAACGCGCGTCCTGGATTCTACTGCTAGCCACTATCCATCAATGCTTACAACAATAACTGTTAAAGTTTCACTAGCATTATAAACTGACTTTATGTCTACTTTTCTAGGTTGAATATTATGACATTTGGAACTAAGCAAACTATGAATGAGTTGTTAAATTACCCAATGAAATTGGATACGTTATGTACTATGCGGTTATATAATAGAATACAGAGGTGTTCATAAACTATTTGTCAGTTTCTAGCTTCTTTCTACTATTGGATTACTCAACAGTGCGCATCTAAGGTCATTCATAAAGGAATTGAACCCACGACATTTGGTCACTTACGATTAACCTCTAGACAACTAAGCCGGCCAGTATCTAACGGTGTTAATGTCTAATTTCAACCAATCCACGTAATTGCACCACTGTCCACCATTATTTTCAGTGAGTAATTGCCTCACAACAGACATGGATGAACTCTACTCGTCACAGCTTCTCACTAGAACTTCAAGAAATACATCTTGATGCCACAATCCTTTACTGATGATTTCTACTTTCCTGAAAGTTTATTCCTATATGGTTAAGTTCTTTTCAGTATTTCATCAGTTAGCAATAACCAACATTAAGTTGTTTATTATGTGGTGCCAATAGGTAGTTATTGATCGCAGTGATTGCATATTATTAGTAGAAAAGTAAACTCTGACGATAATACATCATGCAAGTGTGTTTACTTCACAGAGTTTCCTATCCACTATAAAACCACAAAACTTAGTTTTGAATTACTCAAATTTATGGTCATATTGCAAGTTGATTAATAGAATTGAATGATTATGAATGAACATGTAAAACAGTATGTACAGTTAGTCATTGGACAACAATGACTAGATTCAAGTGAGCTTCTGTTATACTCCAGTCATGGAGAAAAAAATTGCTCCATATACACAATGAGTTGTATTGATGCTATCCAAACAAGTACAAAATGCACTTATAGGATATGGATCTCATAGCGAACTATGCTCCATTGGGAGTAACAGGCGTAAGTAAATAAATAAGTACAGTTAGTCACTAGATGTTGGTTGGAGGTAGTCGACAGAAAACCCTGAAGCCGGGTTTCGTGCTACTTGGCACTCGTCAGCAAGGTGTAGCTGTAATCTTGAGGGAACTGGTGCTCCCTGGCGGATTCGATCTCATGTCACCCAGCTCCACAATCAGAGACGTTGCCACTGGGCTATCCAAGCGACCTCCTGTAGGACTGAGATGTAATCACAATTAATTGATAACTGAGTGGTGATCAATGTCGTGCGTGTCTAGTCCTTGTTTAGTGCAGATCGGATCCGCCATGGAGCACCAGTCCCCTCAACATTTCAGGCACACCTTGCTGACGAGTGCCAAGTAGCATGAAACCCGGGTCCAGGGTTTTCGGTCGTCTACCTCCAACCAACATCTAATCTCAAATATAGTGCACGCAGTGTCAAGTCACCCAGACTGGTGGTCACATTGCAACATGGTCGATAGCATTCGCTCTGCGCTAAACAAGGACTAGATACGCATGACATTGATCACCACCCAATGATCAATCAATTTTGACAGTTAGTCACTATTCTTATAAATGTCTATTTCCATAAGATATTACATTTCAACTATCATTATTTTCCTTATTCTTTTGTATTACATAATGGATTAAAGCATTTACTTCCACCAATCACTTTGGTAATCGATGCTTACTTATGTCATCCGAAAATAGTTTCATTCTATAATGCATTAAAGATTGAATGTTTCATTGGAATCATCTATAATATCTTGTAAGTTTAATATGTTTGTGTTTTTAGTTTTACAGAAGTGTTTTTTCTTTAAAACTCTCTTCTATACTCGAAAGCTTCCTGGAACCCTTCTGGGGTTAACAACAGTGAAAACCCTGGATAAAGGAGGAAGGTTGGGTATGGGGTTAGTGACCCTATTCCGTAGAAGACTAATTCGCTAAAAATTCACTAGCCGGAAATCATAATAATTATGATTACATAATTCATTTAATGCTCTGAATAGTTCTACTGTATAGGAACTATCCAAAGAACACTTGAACTGAATTTCAAAGAATTACAGTTACAAATAAATTTACACTTCACTCTATTGCACAAGCAAGTGGCTATCAAGACTCAATAGTTAAGTGGATAATACAGTGTCGTTTGAAGAGGACAGTATTGGGTTCGAGCTCTGGAATGAATATCAACTCTAGGATACAGGTACATCCAGTTAATAAGTCCTAAATAGGAAGAAACGCATGTCCTGGATTTTACTCATAACCACCATCCATCTTTGTTTATAGTTACGAATAACACTGGATAAAGCAACAATTGCACCGTAATCAAAAACCTAACGCATCAAGAAATTATAACTTTAGTATATTGTCATTTGACAAATATCAGAAATCCAATCTATTAGACTTCAATTCATTATAAGCAAAGATGGTTAACAGTGGAATCCAGGACATGCATCACTTCGTCTTATTTGAAACTCGTCAACTGAACGTACCTTCATCTCGGAGTTTATGTTCACTCTCGGAATCGAACCCAGTACCGTTCGCTTCAAACGCCTTTGCATTATCCGCTTAGCTACTTAACCATGGTAGCCACCTGCTTGTGCAATGGGATGAAGTTTAAATTCATTTGGTATTGTTCACTTGAATCTTCCCATTGATTTTTAGTACTGCAATTAATCAGTCACTTTTTAACCTATGTGCATCCTGTGCGTATTGCTGCGATATAGCCTTAATTCACATGCATTCTAAGCAAAGATGGATAATGGCTAGTAATCGAATCCAGGACGCGTGTTTCGTCCTATGTGGTACTCGTCAGCTGGATATACCTGCATCCCAGAGTTAATGTTCACTCTAGGAATCGAACTCAGTACCGTTAGCAGTATAATATTTGTGAATAAGTGACTGATCAATCACAGTCCTAAACATCAATAAGAAGATTCAAACAAACAATACCAAATGAATCCAATTCATTAGTTTAAATGTTATATAATAATTACATCAGCCATAAAATCAATGAATATCACTAAGCATTGAGATGGTGGAGAAGATTTGTAGCTCAAGTGGATGATTTTGTTTGAGTTTTGTTTTCTGAGCTGAATGGTTTGGTCGTAGAGCTTTCATCATCAGCACAAACTTCGAACACTTCACTTCTATCTGAAGTTTGTTCTGACGATGATGTCATTCAGAAGAACGATGAAAGCTATACGATCAAACCATCCAGCTCAAAGAACAAAACTATGAAACATTAGACAAATTTTCATCTAAATTAAAAACACTTGAATAGTACACCATAATAGGGTATATCAATGATTGAACCTTTAACCTTTATCTTCTTATAGAATGAATGTAACATGATACATATTTATCATTTAACTTCATTATCAATAAATATCTAACTATTAACCTGAATAAACTTTACTAATCATAATTTTATATTATTCAATTATACTATGAAAAGAATCAAAATGTACAACTCACCCCTCCCCCCCCTCCTTAAAACAGAAGAAACCAAAGAAAATCAAAGAGTATACAATTTATAAAAGAATAAATAGTTAATGACAAAGACAGAATTCAAAGGGTTCACTTCACTTTAATCTTCTTCTTTTTCTTTTCAGTAATCATACTCATATTTCAAAGTGATACTTTAATCAACTACCATAGAAACAAAAATGATCTAATAAACTTATGGTGTATAATGATAATGAGGATGATGATATTAGAAACTTCTCTTATTTCATGGATTAAATTATTTATCATCATAATACATTATGAATAAATTTATCTAATAAGGTCATTAGTTTAATAGTCATTATGTTATATTCATGCTATGAGAAAAGCTAAATAGTTGAAATTATGAGTCAATTAAAGGTAGAACATCAAAGAAAACCTAGAAGAACTGGATAGCTGTTTCATCCTATTGTGGGATTCCTCAGCAATACCCACTCATGATCATGGCTTCACTAGATTCGTACTGAGGATCTAGCAGTCTTATGCGTGAATGCTTAACCTCTAGACCAATGAACTGGCCGGTATCCAACAGTGTTAATGTCTAACTTCAACTAATGTACGAAATTGAACGACATATCCATGTCTTAGGTTCGAATGCGAACTGATGAGGAGTACCATGATAGGACGAAACGGTCGTTCACTGCTTCCAGGTTTTCCATGATAGTCTAGATTCAATTGACCCATGATCTCAACTATTAAAATTACTAATAATATCCACAAAAGCCCTTTTGATACTAAAAACTGAATACACTTAATATCTAAGATAAATGGATAATAATAATAGAATTTAAACTGTTTTTCTTTTGTTTCTAAAAGAGATCAGCTCTTCCTGTCAAAATATTCTCACATAATCACGAGTATATAATCACTAACATGGAAGTTTTATTCATTGCCTTTTTGCGGTAAAAGTGTTGTTTATGTAATAGAAAGGATAAAAAAATGAATGTTTGTTTAATGGATATGGAGGATCTAGAAGAGTTGCAAAACCCTGATTCAAAACCGATGGTAAATATGGGCTCTATAATCTTAAGGAAACAATTTACGTATGAACCTATTGTTGGTCATCAACTACCATGGGTATGCATCTTCTAACGTTGTTCCACTATCTTGTGCATTCAGCTTCTAGGTCAAAGGCTTGGCTTTTCAGTTTATGTACCCAGGTAGTATTCCAGCCACAAATCATTTGACTTGTGTGGCGCATATGTATTTTGTGCCTTCTACCAAAGAAGAAGATAATGGTGATGATGATGCTCTGGATGATGATACTGCTTTGGATGATGATGATGTTGTTGCATTGGATGATGCAGTTGCTGATTTCGATGATGATGATGATGATGATGATGCTTTGGATGATAATGGTGTTGCTTTGGATGGTGCAGCTGCTGCTTTGGATGATGACAATGATGATGATGATGATGACGTCGTTTAGCATACTTTATACATGATCACTAATATACTAAAGTTCAAGTATTCAATACACAAAGATATTACATCATTCCATAATGAAATAGAATACACACAAACAACAAGTACATAAATGAATATGTTCTATTGTCTATTGATTTAAGTAAATATTCATTACATGGTATATTCCATTATATAAATTTCTATTCTTAAACTTTAATGTTGCCTTTTTTCTTTTTTTTTCTCCCTTTTTTTCCTTTTCCTTTTTATAACATAACTAACATGATATTTTGACGAATATTTCACACACACTCTCTCTCTCTCACACACACACAAACAAACAAACATACACAACAAATCACACCCAAAAAAAACATTTAGCATAGAAACTGGAATACTTTTATGGGATAAATCACCATATCCACAATTTCTTAAATATAATCTACTATTTAGATATTTCAATTATACAATCACTTGGTCTATATCAATTGGATTTATATTACTTGGTGAAAAATTTGTTCATTATTTACATAAAAATATAAAAAAGAATAAAAAAGAAACAAATTCACATGATGATATAAAAGAAAAAATTGAAAATAAAGAAAAAATAGAGAAAAAAAGAGATGAAAGAAATACCAAAGTTGAATAAATCATCAATACCCCCATTATCACCATCCCCCCCCATCATCATCACAACTACCACCACCACCACTATCAACAACAGCAACAACAACAACATTAAAAAAGAAAAGAAAAGAAAGAAAAGTAATCTTGTTTATTTCTTATTTTTCTTTTTTCTTTCTACTATATATAGATATATGTATATCATTAATATTTGCATTAAGAATAATAGAGTTATCATGAATTGTCAATGAAAATGATTATAGAAATATTTAAAAGGACTATTTACCGTTTGAAAAACTTTAACTCTACAATTGTATACATCATTTCAATGTGACTGTCTTCTTTTTTCTTCTTTCATTGAGGCTAGGAATTAAAAATATATTTTGTTTTGTATGAAGATTTTGTTTTTCAATATATAGGAATATAATGCCGCCTATGATCAGTTTGTTGGAGGCACATAAGTTTGTAAATCTCTCACCATTTTTGTTTCTTTCTCCCAGTCCGTGTCGTCTTATGATGTCTTCATATCCGGTGTTGTCCATTTTAACCTTGACATTTGAATATCCCATCAGAATGGTCAGGTCCTTTGTTGAGCACTTCTCGACGATTGACTGCAGCCTATTGTAAAATTGATCTTTAGCGTCTTCATTGTAGTCGTTGGTAGGCGTATAAAATCGGATGACGTTCATTGTAATGCCCTCTTTCTTTGTTTTGAAAGAGGTTTTGATGATCTTTGGTTCATAAGATTCACATCCCACACTTATACTTGTTTAGACAGCATCAACGCAACTCCTTGTGTATGTGGAGCATTTTCTTCTTCATGGCCGAAGTATAGCACCACCTTCTTTGAAGCTAGTCGTTGGTGTCCAACTCGCATCCAATATGTTTTACTGATTCCAAGTACCTCCAGGTTGTATCTCTTCATTTCTGCAGCAATTTGGAAGACTCTCCTAGTCTCCCACATTGTACGAGCATTCCATGTACCTAAATTCATGGTTGATCTGGTTGTCAGAATGAGCATCAGCCTCGTGATTTCCGAAGGAACTCGGATCTCATCATGATACTTTATAACTCTTCTAATTGGAGACCTTCTAGCTCCTACGGTAGAGTTTAAATGGTTTGAAGTATTTTTTTGCTGGTTAGCATTTTTTAGCGAGTTAGCTTTGTACGGGATGCGTTCGCTAACCTTATGCCCAACCCTCCTCCTTTATCGGAGGTTGGGACAGGCGGTAGCTCCAGAGGGGCTTCAGGCGTAGTTTGGTATGGTCACTAAGTCTTAAATATTCTTAAATACAGGTGAATGATAATTATCAGTGGAATTTAGGACATAATTTTCCTTTTACTTTGGATTAATCGTCTGGGACTCGAACTCAGTTCCAAACACCAATAGGAAATTACAATAAAACTTAATAGAAATAAAACAAACTTTAACCTATTTCGCAATTCAGTAATTTTATAGATTCAACAGCTAATTAGATAACTCAATGACACTTAAAGGGATTAACACACTTAGTTCGAGTTCCATAAATGAACTTCAATTTTAAGATACAACTGCATCTACTCGATAAGTTATAATTTGGACAAAACTCACATCATTCTTATCAACGCTAATAACTATCTAATTCTATCTAATAAAATTATAAACAGAGTACATTAGAAAAACATTCCAAATCACATTTTATTCACTTCATATTTCTATGGAGAACTAATTATCGAGTGTATATAATATGGTTTCTATATTAGAAAACAACCTAGAGCTCCTATGGGGCTACTTCCGGTCCTAAACCCAGCAGGCACAAGGCTTATGCTCATTCTGACAATCAGATCAGCCATGAATTTAGGTACGTGGAATGCTCGTACAATATGGGAGACCGGGACAGTCTTCCAAATCGCTGCTTGCTGCTGACAATATCAAAAGAATCAGCACAAGATGGACATATGTCAGATAAGATTAAGTCTATCATTAACATTGGGAAGGTTAAGGTATTTAAAAAATTTCGAAGTAAATAATAACTAAATAATCCCTGATAGATTCAATTCTGAATATTAATAATAGCTAGCTCATACTTTGGTATGTGCTACTTGTATCGACATAAGTAGTATATAACTCTAGTCAGGAATAGATTGTCTGGTAGAAGAAGATCTAGACGATCGAGGAGGAAAGAACGGGAAATGAAAGTAATTGGTATGGAAATGCAGGAACAGTCTAAGACGATTGACTGATATGAGCAAAAGCAACAGTCGAGTTTGCTTCAGTTGATTAGCATTTTACAAATTAATTATTCACTGTATGGTTCATCTTTAATCTGCTTTCCTTTAATTGAAATACTAAGTTAGAATAATTAGTATCAATATAACCTCTAGGCTAAATTGTTTGTTCTTTACAGATAACTAATCTGTATACTTCAATTTTAACTCTTCTTAAATCTTCTATGTGTTCAGTATTAAAATATTGTTCTCAAAGAGTGAAAACTTATTTTTAAGCAAAGATGGATGGTGGCTAGCAGTGGAATCCATAAAGCGCGTTTCTTCCGCACAGGATGCACATATGCCAACAAGAGACTGATCAATTGCACCCGTAAAAACAATGGAAAGATATAAGTAAACAACACCAAATGAATTTCAACTTCAAGTAAATGGCTAACAGGACTCAATAGCTAAGTGAATAACGTGATGGTGTTTGAAGTGAACGGTACTGGATTCGAGTTCCAGAGTGAACAACAACTATGAGATATAGGTACATTCAGCTGACGAGTCTCAAATAGGACAAGAAACACGTCCTGTATTCCACTACTATCTGGTTCGGTGGTCTAGAGGTTAAGCGCACGAGACCGAAGCTGTGGATGTGCACTATTGAGGAGTCCCACACTAGGACGAAATAGCTGTCCAGTGCTTTCAGATTCTTCATAATGGTCTAGTTTTAATTGACTCATGAATTCAATTATTAAAAAACCATCATTTAGATTTATTGATAAATAGTTTACCATTGATATCTAACAGATAAACAATCATGACCATACCTAGCTATCCGTTGAAAAAATGTTATAACATAAAAATCAATAGTCAGTTACTAAGGTAATGTACGCACATAGTAATAATAATAATAATAATGTGTATTCAGTATCAAAATATTATTTAAAATCATTGAATGACCTTTAGATTTGATTGATAATGTTTATTAGCTTAACATAGATATGATGATCAACTTTATTAACCGAAATGTTCAATTAGTCTTAGAAATTCTATATCCTGATATATAAGGTACATCAAGATGACGAGTTCCAAATAGGACGAAACACTCGTCCTAGATTCCATCACTAGTCACTATCCATCTTTACTTAGAATGCTTGTGAATTAAGGTAATATCGAGGTAATACACGCAGGATGTATATATGCCAATAAGAGACTGATCAATTGCAATCCTAAATATCAATGGGAAGATTCAAATAAAACAATACGAAGTGAATTTAAATGTGTATTAGTTTAATTGGTCACATATTCCATTAAGTAGTCTATTCGAAGTAGTATTTATCATAAAATTATAGATGGAATATTAATAAGGATAATGAAAAATGAACATCAGTATTAAATATTGACGAATATAAGACTTGTATCAGTTCATTACGAATCATCGAGATCTGTGTTATCATATATGAGTATAGGGGTAGTGGGGATTATTAAGTTTTTGATTGAGATCATGGACCGATTGATGTTAGACCACCGTTGGAAACCTGGAAACACTGGATGGTCGTTTCGTCCTATTGTGGGACTCCTCAGCAGTGCGCATCCACGATCCCGCTCGCGGGATTCGAACCCAGAGCCTTCAGTTCCGCGTTCCAACGCTTAACTTACTGGACTACAATTTAGCCGACAAAGCTCGACCAACATTGAAAAGGTTCAAAGCTACTCAACATTCGCCACAACCCAGTGATAAATGAGTTCAAGTTTTGTGTTGTCTACATTCCAACTATTGATTAGCATTAAAAAAATTACCGCTGGGTACCGAAGACGCTGATTTTGTGATTTAAAATGAATCTAAAGTTAATCAATGATGTCTTATCGGTTAAATACATCTATTATATAAACCTGAACTCATGATGAACTCATGATAATTTTTGTAATACAAATATCAGTTGGCTCATAATTTGCCTCCCATTAGAAATTTCTGAATACCATACTTACTTAATTACTTACTTACTCCTGTTACCCTTCAGGGAGGAGCATAGGCCAACCACTAGCACTTTCTATCCAACCCTGTCCTGAACAATCCTTTCCAGTTCTTTTCAGTTACTATTCATTTTTTTATATCTGATTTCAATTCCTAACATAGTACGTTCTTCAGCCTTCCTCTTTTCCGTTCCCCATCACGATTCCAAGTTAGCACCGGCCTTGTGATTCAGTTTGATGATTTCTTCAATGTTTGTCTTATACATTTCCAACGTCTTTTTCTAATTTCCTCTTCAGATAGAAGCGAATTTATTCTCTCCCATAGTAGGCTGTTGCTGATGGTATCCGTCCAACGGATATTGAATATCATACGTAGAAAACTGTTTATAAATACGTGTACTTGTTTGATGACGGTTGTGGTAGTTCTCCAAGTTTCAGCTGCGTACAGTAGGACTGTCTTGAGGTTTGTATAGAAGATTGTGACTTTGATATTAAATAACAGTTGTTTTGAGCTCCGTATGTTCTTCAACTGAAGGAATGCTACCCATAGTTTACTAATCTTCGCCATTATATCAGCATCGGATCCTCATTGTTCATCGATGATGCTCTGAATATCATACATAATTAAATTGAACAGTTGAAGTTCATTTCATCTTCAGACGTATTAAATCTTAGTAAATACCTTAATGACAATTTTCTCATCAAAACACATAAGTAACAGAAGTTTGAGCTGGTAATTTAACTTGGTCTGAGCTTCTGAGCAAGAATTATAGAAGTATTACTTTCTTACTTACTTGCTTACTTACTTACTTACTTACTTACTTACTTACCTACTTACTTACTTACTTACTTACGTACTTACTTACTTACTTACTTACTTACTTACTTACTTACTTACTTACTTACTTACTTACTTACTTACTTACTTACTTACTTACTTACTTACTTACTTACTTACTTACTTACTTACTTACTTACTTACTTACTTACTTACTTACTTACTTACTTACTTACTTACTTACTTACACCTGTTACTCCCAATGCAACATAGGCCGCCGACCAGCAATCTCCAAGTCACTCTGCCATGAGCCTTTTTTTCTAATTCTATCCAATTGTTGCCCATTATTCTTCTCATGTCTGTCTCCATTTCTCGGCATAATGTGTTCTTTGGTCTTCCACTTCTCCTTTAACCTTGACGATACCATATGAGAACTTGCCTTGTGATGCAGT